GCTTACAACATTTTTTTTGTCTTCAGTGCCACTGTAGCTTACCAACTGTATAGATTAAATCTGCAAAAGAGACAGTATTCAAAAAAGCAAAAAAATTTGATGAACAGCTTTTAGTTGAACAAAATCTTGTGAAAAGAAAATTCTATACGATAATACTTGTCAAAAATTTTACGTTGATAAAAAAGTCGATTAAAACAAAAAAAATTGATTGTTTAATTGCCGAAATTAAACTGAAAAACTTTATGCTAATCTGATCACTGAACTTGACAACTGCTTTCGGAAATAAGCAGCAAAAAGTTAGACAGAAAATTGCAGCAAATTTTATCACTCAAATTATGTCTGTAACAGTTCTAAAGTATGCAGACTTACAGAAACTGAAACTTTCTAATAATTAAAATGAAAAAGTTTTTCAATTTCTTGAAGTCTGTAAACTTTAAAAGAGGAAAAACTTTCAAAAGGCAGCCTTTTCTAACGCCATCTAAAAAATTGTTGTTTATATTTCAAAATCGTTGTTTATATTTTCATGATTGATGTTTTTTTTGCGGAAACTTTACACATAATAAGTAAAAACTAAGTTTTATCTGTTTTTTCTTACTTTTTTATTTCTAATAATGGTTTTAAAAAAAATGATAAAAGAACCAAACAATGTTTTGATCACAATTTGTTGTAAAAAACGTAAAACTTTCTTCCGTTTCTTTTTTTTTTTTAATTTTTTTATGTTTTTTATTTAGTTTTCAAGATCATAACATTTATTGAAGAAGATTCTATATTTTCAAAAAAAAAAGTTTTCTTTGATTTAACCAAAGAAAAAAAAGAAATTTTAACCAAAAAAACTATCTGTTATTTGTAATACGGTACAAAAGACAATCTTCTAATACATTTTCTCAGCTGTTTCTTCTATTTTTTTTGTTTCATAAGAGCGTTGAAAAGAGAAATCCTATACTGAGAAATCTGCCGTTAAATAAATGCTTATTGGCAACTTATTATTCAATAATACTTTGTTTTTCTTAAATCAGTTTAACTTAAAAAAACTTATAATTTTTTCTTTTCACATTACCTCCAATTCAAATAATCGACTAAATTTTCTAAGTGTACAATTGGCTACAATGCTACTGCAATATTTCAACAACACTTCCCCTGAATCTTAATATATCGGCTCAAAATCATTGTTTTGATTATCAAATTTAACCGATAATCTTTTGAACAGGATAATTTAAGCAAGAAAAATTTGCTCAAAAAGGCTATTACTGCTTTGTTATCCTACAATTCTAAGAGAGCAGTAACTTTTGAAATTGTTAGTTTAAATGTCGATTGATCATACAAATTTGGCATAGCTGTTGACCACTTATCTGCTTTGATTTGTGCGGCTAATGCCATAACAAAGATAATTTTTTATTTACCAACAAAAGTCAGCTATTTAGTTCTGTTTTCCTCGTTCATTCAAAAAAATTACTGTTAAAACTTTAATACCACGTTTACAAAAGTGTTGTTGAAATAAGAGTTTTCTTAGTATTAATTGTATAAACTTATAATGCTGTAACAATGTGAGATAAAAAAAAGTCGACAAAAAAAATTGACTAAAATTTTCTAAAAGTTGAGAGATTTTAATGTGCACTAAATGAGGCCTATTTAACTCAGAAAAACTTCTGCAACCTAATATTTTAACTGTCATTTTAATCAAAATAAAAAAGAACAATTAACATTAAGTATCAGTAAAATTCATAGCTTTTCCTTCTCTTTTTTTTTTCTGCGCTTATCAATTAGAGCCTGATACTGGTAAACCAAAAACAAGCAGTATTCTTGTACTAAAGTTTAATTTAGCGATATAACTGTTTTGTGTTATTCAGGTAACGTTTTACAGCTATCATAATTTATACTTTATTGCTTATTCTAAAGAACAAAAAATTTCTTTTAATTGGTCTGATTTATAGACCTCTAAATTTTAACAAGACGTATTCTCAAATTGACCATTTAATTAATCTAAACATTTTAATTATAGTCTGCAAAAAAGATTAGCAAAATTTACCGTTTTAAAGTTTATTTAAGAGTTTATATAATTAATTAGTAGCTCAAAAAAAAAAAACGAAAAAAAAAGTTACCTGCTAAAAGTTATTTGTTGATGGTAACTTTTGATAAACTAGTAATTTGTTACAATATATGAAAAATTTCGTTTTTTATCTTGTCTTTTTTTTTTCTTTTTGACAAACCAATTTTAGCAGTTTCTTTTGCAGTAACAGTCGTAAGAGAAGTAAAATGAAATATTGGATTTTGAACAGCCTTTTAGCCTGTTTCTTTTTTTTTCTAGATTATTGTTCAGATGTTAGTTTTTGAAACAGTGCAATAACTGTTTGCAATTTAGCATCTGCTTACACCAACCTTAACATATATATTCGTTATATATATTCAACATATATATTCGTTATAAACCACTTTCTGTTTTGAATTTAAAAAAAATATATATATTTGTTATTAATGTTGTTGAATTGTCAGAGAAAAAAAAAGAAAAAATTTTGTTTTTTTATTACTGCTTTACTGATCTTATCAAAGTTGATCAGTAATGCTTGGTAAAAGTTTATCATTTTGAAACACTATGCGACAATTTGTCATCAGAAGCAAAAAATGAAAATAAACCTTTTACGCAGACATCAACAATTTATTTTTCGATTTTTGATTTATTAATTTACTGTACTGATATACAGTGCCTCATTTCTGACGCTTTTCCTTCGACTATTGATTATAACCGATAATCTATGTAAGCAAAATAAGAAAAAAAAAAATTGAGAACAAAAAAGGCATTGCTCAACAATAAACTTTAAACAGCGGAAGAAAATTTTCATAATTTGTTTTGGAAGCGTTATGAAAACATTGATAAGAGGTAAGTAAATTCAAAGATCAATGCTTAGTAATTGTCGGAAGCCTTTTTTCTTGCGAGGTGGGAGTCGTTTTTTTTTTTTCAGTTTTATTTGACTAAAATTATTTAAACAGGAAAAGTTTTGACATTTATACTTTATTGTTGAAACTATTCATAAAATGTCAAAAGTAAGAAAGATTAAAGTCATGTCTTTTTTTATTTTAAGAAGAATTCAACGATAACAAAAATATTAGTAGGCTTAAAAAATTAGACTCTAATTTTTATTTTTGGTATGTATAAAAATCTGTTCCAAAAAAGAAAACTTTACTGATTTTCTATTTTAAGTTTATCTTTTAATATCAATAAATTTAGTTAAAAAACTTTTTATAAAAATTTATCTGATCAAATTAATGCAGTTACAACTGATTTTCAGGTAAAAATGTTTATTGGTGAAATATATACTTCACTAAGAAAACGGAAACAAAAAGTCGCCGTTAACAAGTATCAGGACTACATTCGATATTTAGAAGAACAGCATATGAAAGACCAAAAAATTCTGGAATATAAGTGCACCGCTAATCTCGACGATGAAAAAAGTAGACAACAGGCAAGATAAAAAAATTGAATAATTTATATTCATGCAAAAAAAAATATCTGCTAATTATTTTTGTCGCTCTCGAGATCACGTATAACTATTGTTGCAAAATAAATTTAACAATCAGCTTTTGAAAAAATTAATTAAGTAAAGAGAATGCTAGAGAAAGACATTATTAGATTAGTTCTTAATTAGCTACTAAACTAAGTTAAAATTTCCAGATTTCTAGTTATAATAGTTACTGTCTTTAAATGCCTCTAGTCTACACACTTCTGAGGCGGTCCTTCAAAACTCTCAGAAACAACGTTTTATTCTTCAGTTGCATGATGTACTCTTAACATTTTTCAAGAATTTTTCAGTTTCGTGATAAATACTTAGCATGGGCAACATTGCTAGTGAATGTCGTGATGGTAGCTGCTAAAATAATCGCCTCGTACCTATCTCATTCAATGTCTATAATCAGTACACTGGTTGACAGTGCAATGGATATAACTAGTGGTGTTGTAATTTACATATGTGTACGAATGATAAACAAAACAAATCCTTATGAATATCCAATTGGAAGAAATCGGTTTGTAAACCTCCTTGTTGTTTTTTTGTTTTTAAGTTAAATCACAAATTTTTTTATATTTTAATTTCATACAGTGAAGAAAGCACTTTTTTCGTTTTAGTCTTGAACCAGTTTCGATACTTATTGTAGCTGTCATCATGATTATGGCAAATCTTATGATCATAATTGAAACAGCTTTGGCAGTTATTGATAAAACAGTAAGTAGTTAATTACTAAATTTATACTAAAACACCTATATCACTTAATCCTCGACTGTTACTGTCTTAAACGTTTCATTGTTGCCTTAGTTAATTTTATTTGGATCAATCCAATTGTTACAATTCCTGTGACAAGTGTGATGTGTGCCGGAACATTCTTCAAATTGGTAATATTGATATTCTGCAAAAAGTATGATAGTCCGAACAGCAGAGTATTGGCTCTAGATCAACGTAACGATATTATAACCAATATTGTTGCCTTAGTTGCAGCGTTTATTGGGCATCGTTGGTGGAAATACGCTGATCCAGTCGGCGGATTTTTAGTTTGGTAAGTCTGTGGTTGCTTGCTGCTTGTTCCCCTAAACTAGAAACTTGTATAGATGATAGATTTAATTTTCGTCTTAGAAACACCACTAACAAAGAAAAAACGGTAACGGTAACCTTTGCGGTTCAAAGCGTAACTTATTTCAGAAAACCTACAACACACATAACTATTAAACATCGACTCAGTTTACAGAAATAAGGCCTGATAGGGTCATCAGTACTTTGTTTGATTAGTAGGCTAAATAGAAAAATGTTATTTTTTAATGTCATAATGGTAAACATAAGAATATAAGGTAAATTTAAAAAGGTTTTTATGAAAACATATGCTAATTTAGGATAATTTCTCAACAAGAAATATGTAACAAGAACCTATAAATTAGTTTTAAAAATGCATCTCTTACAAGGCTCTTCACTACGTAGAGCTAGAACTTGAAAAAGAAGTTGTTAAATGACCTTTTTTTGAGGCAGTGATCATATAAGACTGAAATTTATTTCAATTAACATAAAATGTGACAGTATTTTTTGCTGTGTTGATTGAGAAGCATCATTAAATGTTAGTAAAAAACAAACTTGCTAATCTTAAATCTATTTAGTTTATTTATTGCGAAAAGTTGGTTAGGGATCGCTAGAAAACAAATACCACTGTTAGTCGGAAAGGCTGCCAAGCCGGAATATATCAGCCGGCTAAGCAAAATAGCGATTAACTACGATCCGAGAATCGAGTCTATTGAAACGCTGACAGTTTATCATCTGGGTGAAAAATTTTTGGTTGAACTCCATGTCGTAAGTCCTAGTTCTTCCTTTATCAGATTTATCTTTTTTTTTT